TCCTGGGGCCGAAGCTAGCTGAAGTATCAGCCGAAGCTATGGCTAGATCCTTCAGCAGCTTTGTGAATAACCCCCATAGCACTATGGGTCCACAGTTTTGAATGAACTGGCTGTGATTTACATCACAGCCTGTTCATTCAAGAATTTATGAATGGGGACTAGCACTCACTATAGAGGCTCCTCCCCATTCATAAACTGCCTGATAGTAAATAGTTTACTATCAGCAGTTTCTGAATGGAATGGGAAGCCTCTGTACTGCGTGATTCCCATTCATTGAGTGCTGAGGCTGCAGAAAAAGAAATTGATGGTGCGTTGTTAGAACGCATCGCAGTGCATGATCTTTTTTCTTTTTAAAAAAACATTAAATTAACTGTGGCAGCGCATGGCAAAGCTTTGTGACTCATTGCCATGCGTTGTGATACCTTGTGTTGCAATTAAATATACACCTGTATCATTTTATCACAACACAAACACCAAAACAATTTTTTACATAAGTCGATTATTTACAGTTTTGCATACCTTCATTTTTTTACCTTTTCGCAAAAAGGCGCAATTACAAATTTGCTAATATTTGTTATTTATTAACTCAGTACAGTTTTATATTTTAGATTTAGTCAGAAAATATATATTTTTGTGCAAGGAAACTGATTTTGGTGTGTTTTAACAATTGAATTGTGTATTTTTATCGGTTTAATATTAATTTGAGAAACATTTGCACAATTATCGCAGGGCCTACAAATTTAGTATCACCATCTTTTTATTCTACCGGGCCTGCGCTTTCAGAAAATATATGGTTTGGGGGGTCTTTTACAAAAGCTAGCAGCCCAGCAGTATTAAAATCAAATCAATAGGAAAAAACTGCAAAAATGGCTTGGCCAGCTGATTTGAAAAATGTTCTGGAGGGCTTGGCAGCGAAAGAGTTAATGTGCTGTGACCTTCGCCAGGTATTAGCGTAGTGGAGCTGTACCACAACACTTATGGTTGGGTATATAAACACCATCTAATGGTTATATAAACACCGCCTAATGGATAATCTAATATGGACTGAGTTGTGCCGATGAGCTAACGTTGCCTGAGGTGTGTCCGTGGCCTCGTTTAGGTATATCTAAAATGAGGCACAAATAAACAGATAGATTAGAATTTAACAGAGTTAATTTGAGTAACACATAGCAATTCATCCAGAATAAGTCACACTATGTAACTGAGCAGTTGAACACTAGTGCTGTCTTTATTTGAGGGATAGGTAGGACGTGAATAGCATGAAGAACACAGATGTACTTGGTATTTTAACCAGGCCAAAAGAACATGATAAAGCTATAGAGGCAGCATTTATCCGAGAAGCAAGGTCCATAATTGAGAGGGACCACAAACTAGGACTTCTACCCACAAGTGAGCATAACTGCTGAAATCCAGGGATTTCCGGCATGTGTGGCGATACCCAACATGTGTAGCACGTTCGTCGTTTCCATACGTAGGCACACCCGACGCGTGTTTACGTGAAGACGCGCATGCTTGCGGGGACTTTACATTTTTAAAATTATTTTTACATTTATTTTATGTTATTTTTAAAAACTGTTTTTTTTTTCTTTACTTTAATTGCTATCACATAGGGGGGCTTACAAGAACGGGGAGGGGATGGACGGAGGTTCGTCCATCTCCTCCCCAGCTTCCCGCCGACATCAAAGAAGCCGGTCCTGGGCCTGTAGGAGGGGCAACAGAGCACGGGAAATACGACTGTGGGGGGCCCGTTCACTGGCCCGTAGAAGCAATCTGGCGGCAGCTGAGTCGACAGAATCGCTTCTACTGTAAAGTAAGTTTAAACAGTCCCGGCGGCTAGTCTGTTTAAACAGCCCCGATGACAGCGAGGTACACTGTCGTGAAGGGGTTAAAGCATTTTGGCTGAAATCCTACTGTCAGCAACTCTGCCCCCGCTTCTCATTTGGGCTCCGATTCTAAGCCTGTGGTATACCCAGATACGCCCTTAGCCTCATATGCTAACCAACACCCGGCAGCTGATTCCTCTCATCCTTTCAGCAATGGGGAACTGCCAGATGCTGCCTGCACCGGCCAGAAGGAAGTCATGGCAAGCCTTATTGAAGTGGCTTCTGAGACACTAAAACTGAATGATCCATCCTCCCTTTCTTCCCTTAAGCTAGTTGTTACCACTGGGATCCCGCAGACCCAAACATTCTAACAGGCTTTTTCCAATTCCATCTCATTTTTGAGTATTTGCTGTCTGAGGAATGGAAACATTCTTATTGTCCCTTTCCTATTCCCAGGCATTTTTTCATACTTTACCTAGTTTTTGAGGATGATTGTAAATAGTAGGATACTATTCCATGTACTCATCCATTTCTCATCTGTAAAAAGCAACTGTTATTGGTTGCTTCCACCTTCAAGGATCCAAATGACAAAAAAATGGAATTTCTTTTAAAGTCACCTAATTCTGTGGGAGGTCCCTTCTGCGGCCAGTTTTTGCCTCGCCCCTGTTCAAGGCAGCGGCTGACTGGTCCATACTTTTACATCTAGAAGTAGCTGTAAAAAACATTCCAGCATCTCATTTACTTGACAGACCAGATTGTGCAGATGGTAAATACTTTTTGATGCTTCCCTGGATTTAGCCTGCCTCACTGGTCACAGACACCCAAGGAATCTTTAACCCATTTTCCATTTGTGGGGGACACATTTTTTGCAGAAATTGTGGATAAAACTTACAGAAATTATGAATAATCATGCTTCCCGGGATTTGATGGAAAAACATGGACACACTCCCATGTCAATGGACCCCTTGAATGTGACAATGTTTTGGTTTCAGATCTCCATTATTATACTCTGAAAATCAAGACCAGCTTCCACCCCCCTGAGACCAGCCAATCAGATGGGAGGGGCTGGAGACTGACTATTAACACCTGTGTCTTCAGGTCTAATTCTTCTATTGACAATCTTTAATTGCTCAACGGTTTCTAGTTATGAATTATGGATCTGAAAGAGATGGTTTTGGTTACAGCTATTGTTCTGCTATATGCAGAGTTCAAACTCCGGAACTTTAGGGCTAGAACTCCTCCATACTGTAAGATAAAACCCTTATGTTTGGTATCAAGCAGCTCACCTTTGTGCCACCGTTCCTTTCTTAACCACTTCAAGACCAGGTGTGCCTGGATCTGAGTGGGCGGGCCACTCAGATCCAGGAAGCTCCCGGCCGGCCACTTTTCTTTTTCTCACAACGGCCGGCCGGGAGGCAATTAAAGGTTTTACGATCAGATGATGTATGGGTCAGGAGTTATACAATATGACCTTTTTAGCATTCTGAACACACAAGGTTAGGTGACACTTTTAACATTCTGGTGATAAACACGCCTGGAGGCACTTTGTCTGCCAGGTTCAGGAAGGACATACACTGCTAAATGGTTCCCTGACCGGGGAGCACAACAAACCCACATTTGATTAAATGAACCCTCTTTAGCTAACAAGATTATGCACATTTTGTTAGCTTCCGGACTGCATTCAGAAAATAAATAAATTGACTTTCAGGATGTTTTATGACAAGAGGCCAAAAAATATATTTTTGTGCCATGACGATTCCTTTATCTGAAGGTAGTTTAGCAGATCTGTCTTCGCTGGTCATTGGTATCAGTACACTCCTTTTGTATGCCTTTTCTCCCTTAAAGGAGAACTATGAGCTGAGTGATTTTCACTCAACCTCATAGTTCGAGTTGACGTGTGACAATGAAACTGTCACACGTCGGCTCAATAGATCGGAAAGTGAGCAAAAACATACCGTCGCTCGCTCACTCCTCAATCCGGTCCCTGTAAGTCATGGCTCCCTGCAGGGATTCACCCGCTCCGATCCTCTAGCGCTGACTGGAGGAACGAACGTGGGAGGGGGCGGGTACCGCTGGCTCTGCCTCTAGATAGGCAGAGCCAGCTGTCAATCACGCAGCTGGGTGGATCTCGACAGTAATGTCGGGAAAGACCAGTTTAAATTGAGAGAGGGCTCTCTGAAACTTTGATTCCCATAATGCCCCAGTTTTGTTCCTAAGGTTTAGGATTGTGCCTTTTTCAGATGCTGTGTGTCTCTGGGGCTCAGCCCTTATACTTTTATGTCCTTATTTTCCTCTAGCCTGGTGTCGTTCAGTGTGTGACATCAGCCTTAGCCATTCTCTTTCATTGGACTGAGGCAAACCCATCCTTGGTGTGCACTCACATTTCTCTTTCTGTGAGGTCGCCTATGGCTTCATGGGATTTGAACTGTTCTGTCCAGACGTCTCCCTTTGAACCTATTTGGCACATTTCCTTGCTGATTTTGTCCCAGAAGTTGGCATTTCTTGTAGCTATCATTTCATAACTTGCAGTCATTGAATACATTTTGCTGTTTTTCCCAGGCAAATTAGCCCTATGACCTAGACCTCCCTTCTTGCCCACAGTCCTGTCTATTTTTTTTTTTTTATTACAGTTTTGTCTTTAGGCATAGAAAAAATGAATAAATTTGCAGGACGGTGTTGCCAAAAGAAGGCCTTGAATAAAGGTTTAACTTGGAGAGGCAGTTTTTTCAAATTACACAGGTATACATACCTGTACATTGTAACTTTTGTTTGGGGGGGTTGATCATGTGTGTGTGCATGCGTATACAGTGTATTTTTATTTTTAGTGAAGTTAATATGCAATACTGTATATCAATTTATGCTGAATACCCAGACCTGAATAACACCTACCTCCGCCAGAGGTCCAATCTAGATCTTCAGAATCAGTCAGCCAGTGAAGAGTAACTCCTTTCTTGTTAGAGATACCAGCAGGCTTTCCACACACTGAAGTACAGAAGCACCCTATGTTAAATGTTTATTTGTAAAGTAATGATTTTTAGATGCATTGATATAAATATTTAAAATAGTTTGCAAACATATAACATGTCAAAATGAACTTAAATGTATCAAATATTGTGGTTTCTTTTATAAACTTCGACTTATTTATGTGCAGTGTTTGTATTTCTTGTTTTAGAACAGGGATTGCATTCAGGATGGGGCACCAGCAGAGGGCGAGTTGGTAGAGCTTAGATGGATTGATGGAAATATTTACAAAGCCAAATTTATTTCATCAAATGTCAACTTCATTTATCAGGTAAGAAACATTTTTGAGTAAGAATCCAATGTTGTTGAATTATGTAGGCTTGCTCTAGTGTTAACATAAAAAAATAATAATAATAATGTTCTTGTTTCTATATATAATTATTTATGCTACCTACTACTATTCCTTTTCTTCATCTTCTGCTACCTGCTGGATGTTCAAGATAAGAAATCTAATTCTCTCTTAACCCTTTTACTGCTGCCGATATAACAGTTAGGGAAGGGCAGTACTACTTTCAGCACACCGGGTCAGTATCCCTTATGTCAGCTATTCTATATTCTCAAAGACACTCAAGGCTTAGCCTGTTTACAGATTAATGTGATTGAAGGCTTACAGACTGTTGATCACATCCAACATGCAAATGTGGGTGCCTGCTTCCCTTTTTTTTTAAATCACAGCATGAGATTGATGTCCAAAATAATTGCCTTCCTTTCTGTTCAAAATCTCCATGTTCATACCCCTTATATCCCTGTAAAGAGAGTCTGTCACCACTTATGCTATATGCTGATATTAGGGAAATCCTTATGGTGACTGTTCAGCAAACATGAGCTTATAGCAGAATAGTGCTAAAAATGTATATAGAGTATTTTATATAGCAGGCCACCAGTTACAGCCATTGAAGGAAAAATATGGGCAACCACTCCCAGCCACCACTGCTCATTTCTATCCTTTGTCCACTGCTCCGCTCAACCCGCCTCCATTGCTACCACACTGCACACCCAAAAAAAAAAGCAAGCCGCGCATGCCCGGAAGCGCGCACATAGTGCGCCTGCGCCATCCCACACTCCAGGTGCTACTCAGGCTGGGGGAGAACTCCAGCACTCACCAACTGCCCTCGGCCTTGCGATTGGCTCCTGACTGGGGAAGCTTCCTGGTTGCCCTGGCAGCCTTGACTCATTGTTGAGTTATTATACCTCATGGTGAACACCCAGCTCCCTCTTGTGAACCTATGTGTTGATCTGACTTCCCGGCTACCGACCCTTTCGCCTGACCCTTCGACTACGAATCTTGCTGCCTGCCACGACCCGGACCTGGACTTGATTACTCTATTGGATTACCCTTTTGTTACTGCGATCTCAGACTTGTTTTCATGCCTGCCAAGGGGTTCCACTCCCGGCCCAGTTACCCGGCCTGACAGCTGGGCAGGAGTTTTTGACACTATCTCAGTCCAAGGGATTTGGTTGCTGGAGGAGACTCCTCTCCTAACCCAAACAGTCGCTCAGAGCAATTCGGTTATTCCTGTAATGCTGGGTGCATCCGAACAGGATTCAGTCAGACAGCAGTGGCTGTCAATCACTGTCAATTCCAATCACATCAATCACTGAGAGTGAACCAGAAGTCTTGCAGCTTGAAGAGAGGCAGATTAGATTATGACTTGGGCGGAACTTCACGTACCAGCTCTATCCGCAGCCAATATTCCAGGTGTGGAAAATTGTTAGGTGTACTGCCTTGGTCATCAACTAGGGATGCACCGATACCAGTATCGGTATCTGTGCCGATATTGGGCATTTTCATGAGTACTCATGAAAATGCCCTGATACTAAGTGCTGATACCGGAGCCGTGGCGCTCCACCACTGTCCTAAAATCATCAGTCTGTATTGTTTTAAATATAAAAAAAAAAGAAAAACAATTTCAATGGGGCTTTTAAGGTGTCACTGAACGGACTGGAACGGGACATAACCATATACATATTGCTCTACTCGATTGTAGGACTATTATAACAAATGTTTATTAAAATACATGATTAACAACATATTTAATATAAATAAAACGTTTTCCATACAGAGAATTTTGTCCCATGGCATAATGCCCCCCTGGACCACATAAGCACATAGTATACAATTGTAACATTCCAGTAATTAAGTTATTCTCTTAAAAACATAAATACATATTTATAATTCATCATATCTAGCTTAGTTTTATGCGTCAATTTGCAGTGAGTCCAGACTTCAACGCGTTTAGCCAAAGCTTCTTCAGGAAGTTTGGAGGTAGCCTAAGACATTCAATATCCATTTTGAATATATATTGCAATATGTACCATTTTGGGGAAAACGTATGGTATGTCGATCCACCAATGCGAGAGAAACAACCCCACCGGGCCAAGGAGGCGGAGAGAGAGATATAGCATAATAAAGTCTGCCAATATAGGATTGTATATAGATGGGGGCTCTTACATTACATATGAAAAAGGAAAACATAAACACCCTAATGATACCTTAGTACCCTCTACTTCGTATATATATCTATGTCTTTGATTGTTTGGTTTTCTTTTCTCCTCTGGTGCTATTCAAGTAAAACATGGAGATATGGAACAACCTTTCAAATCTAAATATAATCCACTAATTATTAATAGGACGGTCCTTAAACATAAAAGAGAGCCACTCTGCAGCTAAGGCTGTAGGTAGTAAATGATGTACCTCAATGTTGTCCATGGAGTAAAACGATAACGATTTTTCGATTCCTCCCAACCGTGCCGTCCATTTGTGTCCTTTGGTCTCCCCAAACAAATCCCCTACTGCACCGTGTCACGTTGTGCACATAGGCGGCGTCTGACGTGTACAGGTGGGCGGGCCATTGGTTTGCATATGCGCCATGACAGCACATTTTAACGGAGTATTCTGGACATAATTGCGGGTTCCCTCCCACTCAGGTTTAACTGTCCAATGGGGCAATGCCATGACATGCATAGCACCACCCCATACTCTCGGACATGGTGAATAACAGCACACGGAGATGACCGAGAGATGGAAAAATCCTGAGGGGAACAGCAACCCCTCCCCTGATAGAACAGGAGTGGTGATGTTCATCGCAGACCACGCCCACGAAAGGATAGAATTGGGGGCAGGCTCAATGATTTTCAATCCCCGGCAAGCCGAGTATTTCCTAGAGACGGATGCACACCAAAGTCACCCAAACCAATTAATATAATATATTGTAATATCAATACATAGTCTCCTCATAATTAAATATAAATTTAAAGTATATAATCAAGGCACAACCCCAATGTAGCACATATCAATAATATTGTATATCCTATATGTCTATATATTCCTACAGTTACCCACATATATATGTCCCCATGATCTTCAATGGGAGACCCTTAAATCACTGTGACAGACAAATTAGTGTGAATTAAAATATAAAGACTATTTGGAATAATTATAATAGTGTAAGAGAGGATAGTGATTTAGATAAAGGTGATAATTAAAAATATGACTTTTACATAATCACAATATAAAGCCAAAAGAATGTGACACAATGTGATAAAATGAAAAAAATATAAATGCACAACAAACCTCCTATCCCCATGTATTGATATGTGTCTAGTGAGAGGAGAGAAAGTGATAAATAAGTGAACAAATTAATATTAGTGTTAGTGTATACACCTATATGACTAAATCATGGATTATAAAATTATGAAATCATTATGCTATATTAAAAATCTTCTTTTCTTTCTTTTTTCGGGGGGATATTTACTACATAGGGGTGTGGTGTCCTGGTTTTCTGTGGTGGCGCAAAAACACTGTTTACAGTCTGTATTGATTTAGAAAAACATGACACAAAAAGTATCGGTAATAGGTATCAGTGAGTTCTTGAGGAAAAGTATTAGTACTTGGTCTTGTAAAAATGGTTTCAGTGCATCCATATCACCAACGTCTGGACTTCGGAGAGTGGTCTCTTCACCCAGAGTTTTAAGACCTCTGTCTCAGATGGGGAGGCCAGTCATGGACTTCCTGACTTCAAAGTTCAACAACAAGCTGCAAAGGTTCATGTGCAGAATTGACACCCTGGTGGAATCGGTTCAGCTCAAACTCCTTCCTCGTCAGCTATGCTGATTTGAAATGCAGTGATTCTCTTTGCACCGAACTGGCTCAGGTGAATGTGGTATTTGGACCTTGTGAGACTCCTGGCAGATTCTCTGTGGGCCCTTCAGATCGTCTAGATCTTCCATCACAGGTACCAGTTTACCACCCTGCTTTGCGTTCTCCGGCTATAATGGTCTGCCAGTTGAAGGCCAGTTTCTGAAAAATGGGCTTATCCACTTTAGTTACCCTACATTTTTTAAAGGCCAGAAATTCAGCCTTGTGTAAAGTCTACCATCTTACTGGGAAGGAGTATTTCTCGTGGTGTGAGATGTGGCATTTCCACCCCTGGAAGTACTTTGTGAGACAAAGCTCTTCTTTTCTCCAATCGAGTCTGGATCAGCAGTTGGCCTTGAGCTTCACCAAGGGGCTAGAACTCAGCCCTGGCAATTATTTTTAAATTCTTAAACCATTGCACCGCGCTGAACCTTTCAACGATATATAATAAAAGAGTGTGTCTAAATACTGAAAACAAATTAACCCCTATGAGAAAAAGTCATATACTTTGTAAACTTAATCAAATAAATCAAACTCCAATAAATAATTTGAATCCTAGGTGATAAAGTTCACAGTGTAAATCTCTTATGAGACTTGAAAGTGTCCAATAAATCAAACAGTGCATAAGTGTTCATACACATCGATATCAAACAGTGCTCAAATGCAGGTTCATATAAATCTGTATCGTATTCTGCGATTGGGAACTAATGCCTCTAAGATATTCATGGAGTATGTTCATTCAATGATCGATCTCCTCCGATTATATGAGAAAATCAAAACACTCACCAGAAGTTTCTGACCATGCATTCAATTGGTCTTACTGTGCTTTGGTGAGCGTGCTCTCCTGCCATACCGATCCTCCCAGCTGTCACTTTAGATGTCGTTAATCATCTCTCCCCTCAAACACCAAACGAAAACCAAGGAGCTCCCTTACTCAATTAAACGATCCACCCCCACAAAGGGAAAAGGGATACAATTGTGTAGTATATCGAGATAAAATATTTATTAAAACGTAGTAACTTACAAGTATAAAATCAACAGCAGGCTGATCGAGCGTTCACCACAAAACCAGCATCAGACGAACGGAACACCGAACGCAACACTTCCTAGGTGTTTTGTCACTGGGGCTTTTT